ACAGGGACTCGGTAAGTAATAAATTCGATATCGTTTTAGTCTTATCGCCAGATGCAAAACAATACTACAGTACCGCAATACTCCAGTACTACTACAGTAATATAATTTTTTGTCTAATTCATCAGTTAATTAGCTCTGCGTATATACATATACGCCCCCGTCTGCGGTCAAGTATTTAAGTTTTGGAAGTTCGTCTTCATTACCTGACTCCGCTGCTTTCTCTGCTTTCTTTGAAATGCAAATAATTCGCATGAATTTTGAAGCGTTATTTTTATTTTCAAGGTTTTTATTATTGTTGCAGGTTTTACAGTGAACACTTAGTCTATTTGCTGCTTCGAACCCCGGTTCGATTCCGCTCAATGGCAGTCCTTGTCTTTTTCACGAATTCCTTTAGGGAAAGAATTTACCATACGTTGCTTCACAGCTGAGTTGCTTAGCTGATGAAGAGTCGAACCGATAACAGTCACTCGTGTTCCTTCCGAGGTTGAAGGATCAGTGCCACTGTGTGGGAAGAAAACAGGAAATTACGTGCTACCCTTGCTACATAGCGGTAGACTCAGCCTTTAAAAATAAGGCACTCCTGGCTGATGGAACGAAAACGGAGATAAGCACCGCTTCATCAACTGGATGTAAATAAGGGCGCAAAATGTCCCCATCATGAAAGTGTTAAGAACACTACCATTCCAACAATTAAAAATTTTCCTTTTGCTTCTTATTTTTTGTGTTTGCCGGTGTGAGGTATACATCATAAAAGCATTGTGGATTGGTCTGTCATTAAGCCCACTAGAAATTATCATTTTTCTTGGTAGCTAGTTCTCTACTTCGTTCATTGGACCTGACCATTGAAAAGTGAGTAGTACGATTTACTGTAGCAGTAAGCCTGACATAACGGTCCGTCATTTTTTGAGGATGAATTCTCTTATCTGTAGCATAGAATATACGGCTTGAAGTATTGTTGCTGACTTTCGTATACTGTATATCATTTCAAATCATCTTTAGAAACGGCAGCGTTCGGTCTAGACAACAGAATGCTTATCCAGCATACTTGGCTAGTTTGTTGAACCAATCAACTGGGAGTGAACTCGGTGCAACTGTGCACAATCTTGCGGCGGATCATGACACCGCAACCACCACGCATCAGTTGAATTTGTCTTCAGTTATCCGTCATGCGGCGGAATCGAGAGACGACCTGACTGTATCCCCATCGGAGGTCGGCTTTACGGCGACTACAGCCGAGTATCATGGACCGCATGCGTCGCCGCGGATGTCGCGCACATTGAAGGAGAAACCTGCGCATCAGGCGAGGGTATATACTCCTAAGCATTTTTACCGATTGTCTTTGCTTCGACACCTGGGTCTGAAAACACCGCTGAAGATATATTTTGACCGTTTGCAGCTGATGTCGTTATTCGACAAGAACAAAAAGCTATTCAGCGTATTCTTCGACATTTTACTGGCGGTTGCGGTGAGCGTCATGGCAACGTTGGTGATTGAGCAGCAGTTGTACCACGATTTCCAGTTGCTGGTTTTGTGTTGGCTGGTGGCCAGTGCCCACTTCTCGCTACTTAAGAGTGTCCAACCGGATGCGTCCAGTCCCATTCACGGCTACAATGCGCTTATTACCTACAACCGCCCATTTTACTTCTGTTTTACGA